GCAAAAACTAATTCCCAGGGTTCCTGTCATCCTCGGCGCCAGCTTCATCAGCTACGCAGGTTCCTACCTGGCCAAGACTGGCAGATCGATTTTACTCATATGCCAAAGCACAAACAGTACCGATATCTGCTAACCATTGTTGACACTTTTTCAGGCTGGATTGAAGCTTACCCCACAGCCTCTGAGTCTGCCGGGACAGTGGCCACTCATCTCATTCAAGACATCATCCCACGCTTTGGACTCCCGGCCACCATACAGTCAGACAACGGCCCAGCCTTTATCTCCAAAGTCACTAATGCTGTTTCTACCTCTCTAGGAATTCAGTGGAAGCTACACGCCGCCTACCATCCTCAGTCCTCTGGTAAGGTGGAATGGGCCAATGGCCTAATAAAGGAGCATCTGACCAAGCTCATGCTTGAGCTCCGCCAATCCTGGGTAACCTTGCTTCCTATCGCCCTCACCAGGTTAAGAGCAAGCCCCCGAGGCCCAACACAGCTTAGCCCGTTTGAGCTGCTGTATGGTCGCCCCTTCCTACTTTCAACTCCCCCACCACCAGAGACCACTCCTCTAGACAGCTACCTCCCCTACTTTACTCTCCTTCGCAGCCTTCTCCGAGAACACGCCGACGCCTCTCTTCCCCAACCCACCCAGCCATCTGAAAATACACAAAAAGTCTCCCCCGGGGACTTAATTCTTATTAAATCCCTCTCCCCAAAGCCCCTTGCCCCCAGGTGGGAGGGACCATATACCATCATCCTCACTACTCCATTGGCCATAAAAGTCGCTGAAGTCCCATCTTGGGTTCACCTGTCTTGGGTAAAAAAGGCCCCTCATGGACCCTCCTCATGCTGGAAGGCTGTTCCTACTGGCCCTTTATCTGTCAAATTTACCAGGGCCTAGCAGCCACACCCCCTACAGATGGAGATTTTTCCTAACTGAAAACTATACCAAAACCAACTTTATCTGTAACACCCCCCCATACAGCCACAACCATCTTCTTGCAACTGCTGACTGCCCCACAGCCTGGTGCCAAAGCACCATATACCTAAACATCACTCATTTCTACAATGTCCATGAAGGAATTGGGATTTTACCTGTCGTATGTTTCAACTATGACCAACCATCAGGAAGATGCAGTGATACTCCCTGGCGCTCCTACATGGGCTGCACCTGGGGTGATTGCTCTCTTCATCCAGCCCTTGACATACAGCGGCACCCAAACATTCCTGCCTGGCTCAAAATTGTTCCAGACATAGATGGAGAAGGAAATGTCAGAACCGGTTATACACGGTATTCTCTTCTCATACCTGACCCTTGGAATGACCGGTGGAAAAACCCCCAGAAAGCTGCCCTATATGACCTCGGCACCACCGCATATCCCTCTTCCCACCTGTACATTTGGCGGGCATACGTACGTACGGTCCACCAAGTCCACTCCGCTATTAACCTACAAGAAAAATCTCTGAATAACCAATTGCAACCACACTCGTCTCCTTTTTCCTGGCTAACCTTTCTCAAAGAAGGAATCAAGTTAGCTAACCTCTCAGGATTAACTGACCTAACCTCATGCCTCATGTGTGCCTCCTTAGGACAGACTCCCTTCGTCGCAGTCCCCTACCCCATCCCTCTCAACCTTTCAGCCTCAACTTCTCCCTTCTCCCCCATCAGGGAAGTAAATCTCTACACTCCACCTGATTTTACACAGCTACCAGTATGCTACTCCCTAGGCCGGACCTACTCCAACTGTAACAAAACCATACTGGTAACTACTAATCTGACAGCTCCAAAGGGAACTTTCTTCTGGTGTAACAGAACCCTCACAAAAACTCTCCACACCGGCCAATCCCCAACTCTCTTATGCCTCCCAGTGACCTTAGTCCCCCGACTCACTATATATTCCTCAGCCGAATTCCAAATGCTACAAGCACCGCTCCACCACACCAAGCGAGCTGCTTTTCTGCCCCTAGCAGTAGGCATCTCCCTAGTAACCTCAGCACTTGCAGCTGGACTGGGAGGAGGAGCACTAACCCACTCTCACCAAGCTATAGCCCGGCTAACCTCACATTCCAAACTGCAGTTGATGACTCTGCTGAGTCATTAGCATCACTCCAACGACAGATTACCTCAGTTGCCCAAGTTGCCTTGCAGAACCGAAGAGCCCTGGACCTACTCACCGCCGAACGAGGAGGAACCTGCATCTTCCTACAGGAAGAGTGCTGTTACTACATCAATGAATCCGGCCTAGTAGAAACCCGAATCGAGAACCTCCAGAAACTCAGAACTAACCTGCAGAATCAAAAATTCTCGGCTGAAGCCACGGCGTGGTGGTCTTCCTCTATGTATACCCTCTTGTCCCCGTTGCTTGGGCCCCTAATAGCCATTTGCCTAATCTTACTTATTGCTCCTTGCTTTCTACAGTTCCTACAGCGGCGCTTTCAAGAACTAACTCGAGTCACCATCCACCAGATGCCGCTCCAACCTTACCCTGAAGGAGTGCTAAAAGTGGACCTCTCCCCGAACATACAGACTCCTTAGGAAAAGAAACCTCTTCAGAACCCCCGTCGACCCTTGTCAGCAGGAAGTAGCCAGAGAGACAACCGACGCCCCTGACCCCCTCTTTTCTTCTTTTAAGGAGTCGGGAATGTTTGGAAAACTCTGCCCCTATGTGAAAGCTCTCTTTCCCTCCCCCACAAAGAGGCTCCCTTATCTCTCACTCTACATACCGCTCTAGCCTTCCCGCCCGGCCACAGCCACCTCCCGCCCAGCAACCGGCTGACCAATCACCGCCTGCCTCATCAGCACTCCCCAGCTTCCCACCGCCTGGCTTCCCGCCGCCCGGCTTCCCGCCACCCAGCTTCCCGCCCAGCAGTTTAAACTGACCAACCGTTGCCCACCACCTCGGCTTTCTCAGCTTCCCCACTCCCTCAGCCCTTCATCCCCCTATAAAAGAACCCTGCTCCTCTGAGCGGCGCAGCCATTTTCCTCTTCTTCCCGGCTGGTCTGCCCGGAGGCTCTTTCCTCTCAATAAAGCCTGAACTTAAGACTTTCTTCTAACCTGCGGTCCGGTTTTTTTCTGAACGAGCTCAGTCCTCCCGCAGAGGGTAGGTCGGACACTGGAAATTACAACTCAGGCAGAAGCTCCAAAATGATATCATCCTTGATTATTCAGGAATTCTACCTGAGGAATTGCTTACTTACTGTTTATGTGAACAGAGCAGTGTTCCAATGGTGGGAAATAAAAAGACTGAAAAAGACCTATCACTAACTATGACAGAAGTTATGAATGACACCACTTCTTCCCTAGATGTAATAAAGATCTGTCTCAACTTACTGGCACAAGTAGTGATGATCAATTGCATTGCTAGGATTATTTGTTGGCTAATCATGATAGCATCTGTGTCATTGCTATTACTTCTTTCTCTACCTGGATTAATGAAACAGACATGGTAGAATAAGCTATATATTGCCTTAAAGCACTTCTTTACACAATGCTTCTGTACAGCTGCTCTCTTACAAGATGATTGCTATAATGACACAACAAAAAGATCAAGAGGATATTCTGGTACAGTTTACTACAGACAACTGAATAATCCTCAAGTGGTGAAGATCTGGATGGATCTCTTGCCTTCTCTGAATTGGTCAATCTTTCTCAACAAAGAGAATGATCAAAAGGGAAGCCCTTGGCAGTCCTAGTGTTTGCGACTTGTTTATTTGAATAATGGAATCGATTTCATATTGATTTGTTTGAGGGTGTGTCGTCGTGTAATAAAGAACTTGGGCTGGCTTCAGTGGCTTATGCTTGTAATCCCAGCACTTTGGGAGGCCAGTGCTGGGATCAGATCATCTGAGGTCAGGAGTTCAAGATCAGCCTTTCCAACATGGAGAAAACCCGTCTCTGCTAAAAATACAAAATTAACTGGGTGTGGTAGTGCATTCCTGTAATCCCAGCTACTTGGGAGGCTGCAGCAGAAGAATCACTCAAACCTGGGAGGTGGAGGTTGTGGTGAACTGAGATTGTACCATTGTACTCCAGCCTGGGCAACAAGAGTGAAACTCTGTCTCAAAAATATAAAATAAAATAAAATAGAACTTGGTGGGCCTTTGTCATTGTTTCCTGGGAAATAACCTATAAATCATTGGAATTTCCTAAAGGATAGAAGTGCCTTGGGGGCCACATCTGATAGTTTATGCAAAGAAGTGACTTACAGTTGGCTTCTACTTTATGCTAATGAGATAAAAGAATGGCTGCTGGCCATGCCAGAAATACCAAGCATGTAATTAGAGCTGGGGCTTTGAGCCACGTAATATCAGCCAAACCTCTCGGGAGAGGAGTGGGAGCTGGTGATTGAGTTCAACTGTGTGGTCAATCATTCATGAATATGTAATGAAACCACAATAAAAACTCTGGACACCAAAGCTTCCATGGTAAGCATTTCTCTGTGCATTTTTACACATCAATGTGCCAGCAGGGTAACATGCTGCTGAGGATACAGAAACTTTGGGATACTCCCCATACTCTTCCCTATGCATTTCATCCTTGGGCTGGTTCTGATTTGTATCCTTTTTCTATAATTGTCATCATAAACATAGTACTCTCCTGAGTTCTGATATTCATTCTAGAAAGTTATCAGCCTGCAGAGGTGATGGGAATTCCTTAATTTGTAGCCAACTGGTTATAAGTGAAGGTATCCTGGGAACTCCCAAATTTGTGTCTGCTGTCTGAAGTGAGGCAGTCTTGTGAGCTACTGTGTCCTAACATAAAATTTGGCTTAACTCTGGGTAACTGGTATCAGAAGTCATCATAGTGCTGCAAATAACACTGAATTTATCTGTAAGCACACACATTCTCTCTCTCTCTGTCTCTCTCGCTCTCTCACACACACATACACACACACACACACACACACACACACACACACACACATACCAGCCTATTTCTAAAAGATGGAACAGTGCTAATCTATATTTGATTTTGAAAAATAACTACAGTAAGCAATTATATTTTTCTAAAGAAATATTTAATTCATAGTTTTCTAGAAAGAAGGCTTTTCATCTAGTACAAAAACATGAAGTCAGACAGAAGTGCTGAGAAAACTGGGCAACACAAGAGAAGCATGAGATGTGATCTGAAGCAGCGGATAGTCTGTGTAAATCAAAAATAAAATTCTAAGCCCCACAACCAGCTGAATGGACCCTTCCTCTTGGCCAAGGGCATTCTAAAGTAAACCTGAAACACTAGTTCAGGCCATGAAGGTAATGGGTGGTCAGACATACTTCATTATACCTTCCACTCTTTGGAATTCAGGCACAGTAGGCCAGCATTATATTAAAACAGAGACCTTAAGACTGACAAAAACAGGTTCTTTGTAGCAGTAAGATAACGTGACAGATAACAGGCCCTGAGAGAAATCTAAGTACTTTACCCCAAAATAAATTTCTCAAGTCTGATAAGAAACATAATCTATTCTTTCTGAAGCCTGCTACCCTCAGGCTTCATCTCATAGTAAGAACCTTGGTCTCCACAATACCTTGTCTTAACCCAGACATTCCCTTCTATTGATTCCAGGTCTTTGAATAAACCAACTGCCAATCAGAAAATCTTTGAATTTACCTATAACCTGGAAGGCCCTCCCTCTGTCTCCACCCCTTCCCCACCAGCTTCTCTGTCTTTCTCTGTCAAACCAATGTAAATCTTACATGTATGTATTGACTGTTGTCTTAACGTACGAAACCAGGCTGTACCCTGACAGCACAACTGTCTCTTTCTCTCATGTATCCTTGCCATGTTAAACACTCATCAGTTTGAACCCAGTGTCCTACCCTCCAAAAATCCTTTGCACTGCCTATAAGATAAATCCTCACTCCTGTGTTTGGTATATAATGCCCTCTTCAGGGCTGCCCCAACCTCCTGCTGCCCCTAACAAGAGCTACCTTGGGCACATGTTCTCAGGATCTCCTGGGGCTGTGTCAGACTTGTTTCTTATCAGACTTAAAATAAATCTATTTGGCATCTGGGGTAAAACACTTTGCTTTCTCTCAGGACTTTTTGTCATGTTGTTATTGCTACAAATAGTCTGTTTTTGTCAGTCTTAAGGTCTCTGTTTAATGCAAATGCTGGTCAACTGTGCCTACAGGTCACTCCTATTTGTCTCAGAAAAAAAATCTCCTCAAATATTTTACCATTGGACTTTTTCTGTTGTCATCTGGTTCCAAAAATACAAAAGTGATAAAATGATTTTTAAAAATTTAATAGAACAAGACAGTGACGAGATTTACCAGAAGTCCAGATATCTTCCATTTAAAAAAATTATGCAAACAATAAATATTTTTATATTGCAAACAGTAAGATCAGACTTCATATCAGTTTTCAAGAGAACACCTCCCCAAAGAAGGGAAATTTACACAGATTTCTGACTGACCATATAGGTTTTAGGCAGGTGGAGAAAGTGCCCCAGGCCGATGGAACAGCAGAGGTAAAGATTTACAGGCTGAAAAGTGGAGAGGCATGTCTGAGGGAAGGCAAGAGAGCATTTGTGTGCAATGGAGGCTCCAGTCAGGAGCAGGAGGAGGTTGGGACAGCCTAAAGAGGGCATTATATACCAAACACTAGGGTTAGGATTTATCTTATAGGCAGTGCAAAGGATTTTTGGAGGGCAGGGCACTGGGTTCAAACTGATGAGTATGGTTAACATGCAAGGATACATGAGAGGAAGAGACAGATTTTAGACGAATACCAGTTACAAAACTGTGACAGGTGTTTAGGTATAAAGTGATCTCACTAAGTACAGAAAAGGGCACTGGGAAAAAAGGGAGGGATGGAGCAAAAAAATATTTACTACTTCTACTCTTGGAAATCTTGGCAGTTTGGGAAGAAATTTCTGTATGATTTTTAGGCTCCACAACCGGCATCTTGACCTCAGCTGTTCAGGTACTTCCAGATCCAGATGCCTCCTGTGCATCCTACCTGCCCTGGCCAAACTTGTGGACTTTTAGACCCAGCCTGTCTGCATGGACCCATTTTGAGCTCGTTCCCTGAATTCCAGGCTCAACTTGCTCATCTGGACTTTAAATACTTGAAGGACTTCCCTCAGTATAAGTTGATCCTTATTAGGCAAGTATCCTTTTGGTCCATACCAGCTCCTGGTCTAAGTTTCTTCACTTGAGTTACAAAGCCAACACAGCAGGAATTTTAAAAAGCCTGACAAGGTTCTGAGACCCAGTAAATGTAAGGTAATTATTATAGAAAATAAAAAGTGGCAGTGGCTCACACCAATCCCAGCACTTTGGGAGGCTAAGGCATGAGGATCACCTGAGGTAAGGAGTTTGAGACCAGCCTGGCCAACACAGTGAAATCCCATCTCTACTAAAAATACAAAAAAAAATTAGCTAGGCGTGGTGACAGGCACCTGTAATCCCAGCTACTAGGGAGGCTGAGGCAGGAGAATTTCTTGAACCCAGGAGGCGGAGGCAGCCTGGGCAACAAGAGCGAAAATCCATCTCAAAAAAAAAAAAAAAAGAAAAAGAAAAAGGGATACCAAAAATGCACAGATAGCTTGAAATAACAAAAAAAAAAATGGAACACATGTTTAGCAATGGTTGGTATATTGGTAAATTTGATTTTTAAAAATAATTTTATTGAAGTATAATTTACTATACAATTCACCCATTTAAAGTGAACAATTCAATGATTTTAGTGAAGTTACCAAATTGTTCAACCATCACCACCATCTCGTTTTAGAACATTTTCGTAATCCCAAAAATATTTCTTGTAACATTTGCAGTTACTTTGTTTCTGAAGATCTGCCATTTCTGGACATTTCCTAAAATGATACTATAAAATATGTGGTATCTGGCATCTGCCATCTTTCACCTAGAAGCATGTTTTTGAAATTTTGATCATGTATAATACCCATAATGTAGTAATTTTAATGTTTAAACAAAGTTTCATTTCATTTCAAAAATTCCAAATCTATTAGCATAAAGATGCAATGAAAATTGTTTTTTGCTCAATCCTAGACCACTCCATTGCCTCATAAAGAAAGGTAACATGTGTTACCATAGAAGTGCATGGAGGTATTGTACAGGAAAGGTCCAGTCTATTAATCTCCATACTACAATTGTGAACCACAGGAAAGAGACCCAGCCCAGTTAGAACAACAGGCCAAGGCATGTCGCTTTCTGAATATCAGTTTCATTCATTCTAAAATATGACTGGGCTGGATCATGGGTAGCTGTCTACCTTTCTCAGCCTCCATCCTCTGAACCCATGCATGACACCCTGCCCTATCAGTAACAGCATGAGGAGGCAATGCACAAGTGTGGTTATACAAATGGCCCCACCAGGCAGAAAATCACCAGACAAGGTGATTTCTCAGCTTCTTTTCAGCTCTAGTTTTATACATCTCAAGTTGGAAAGGAACTTTCCACAGATTCATAATGTTCCCAGGGTTTCTCTTTGAGGTGAAAACTGAGGCTTGAACTATAATAGAGGGTTTTCCCAGTTTCACTAAATTTGAAACATGTGCTAGAGCAATGCTTCAAATTTAGTGAAACTGGGAAATTTTCTAATGTGCAAAAAAAGTGGAACATCCACCAAAGCCTTTCCTACACTCATCACATTACCAGAGTTTCTAACTAGTATGGAGAGTTCTATGGGGTTTATAAAGCAATGAGGTTTGGCTGAAGGCTCTCCCACATTGTCCACATTCATAGGTTTTTCTCAAGTATGAATTTTCTGATGCTTAATAAGGAATGAGCTCTGACTGAAGGCCTTCCTCTATTTTCTGCTTTCATAGGGCTTCTCTCTAGTATGTGTTCTTGATGTCTAGTAAAGGAATAAATACAACTGAAGATTTTACCATACTTACCACACTTGCAGAATTTCTCTCCAGTACAAGTTATCTGATTTTCTTAAAGAATCAACATGTAACTGAAGGCTTGCCATACTTACTGCATTAATAAGGGTAGTCCCCAGTGTCAGCTGTCTGATGCTGTATAATGTGCATCCTCTGATCAAAGCCTTCCTGCATTCAATACACTTACATCGTTTTTCACTAGTATGGATTCTCCCACGTGTGATAAGAGAGGGGATGTGGCTGAAGCCCATCCTCTCTTGACATTGATAGGATTCTCTTTAGTAATTAGTGCCTGATGTGGAACAAGATGTGGTTTTCTCATATACATGACACCTTTAGGATCTCTCTCTGATACGAATTCTCTAAGTACTGGTGATGACTGCATTCCAGCTGAAAACCCTTCTATATTCACTGAATTCATAGGTGTTCTTTTCCAGCATGACTTCTCTGATGTTTAATAAGAGATGCAGTATGAGCAAAGACCCTTCCACACTCATTACATTTGTAGGGTTTCTCTCCAGTGTGAAATCTGTAATGTTGAGTGAGAGATGAACTCTGGCTGAAGGCTCTCCCACATTTATTACATTTGTAAGGTTTCTCTCCAGTATGAAATCTATAATGTACAATGAGTGATGAGCTCTGGCTGAAGGTTCTCCCACATTCCCTGCATTCATAGGGCTTTTCTCCGGTATGAGTCCTCTGATGCTTAATGAGGGATGAAGTGTGACCAAAGGCTCGTCCACATTCATTACATTTGTAGGGTTTCTCTCCAGTGTGAAATCTATAATGCAGAACAAGAGACGAACTCTGGCTGAAGGCTCTCCCACATTCACTGCATTCATAGGGCTTTTCTCCAGTATGAGTTCTTTGATGCTTAATAAGGGATGAAATATGACCAAAGGCTCTTCCACATTGACTGCATTCATAGGGCTTTTCTCCCGTATGACATCGCTGATGGCGCCTAAGTTCTGACTGGAAGTGAAAGGACTTCCCACATTCATTACATTTACAAGATTTCTTCTCTGGATGGGTTCTCTGAGAGCTATTTCCCCCTGAAGTCTGTCCAAATTCTGTATCACATTTATAAGATCCTTCTCCCATGAAAACTCTGTGTTGGTTGACAAGGACTGATCTTAAACCTAAGCTTCTCCCAAATCCATTCCATTCATAATTTCTGCTAAGGATGGTAGCAGATTTGTGAGTGGTTGACATTTGTTTCAGGTGTGTCTCCTGTTTTATCTGCTGCATCTCTACCTGGCCATCACAACCACAGGCTGCTTTCAACTTCGAGAACTGCAGCTCATCTGGAATTTGTTTTTCCACTGATGCTACCTGGAATAATTCTTCTTTGGAAATTCCCTGACTTGGCATTGATTCCTTGGATTTAGACCTTCTCTCCCAGTCTGTTTAAAAAAAAAAAAAGACATTCTAGTAAGACCTGTCCTATGTGCCAAGAGAAAGCAAGCTCCTTGCTTGCTTGCTTGCTAATGAACATTTTAAAAATTAAGCTTCAAAATAATACCTAAAGGGGATGTACAGATTTTTTCAATAACTGCTTATGTCTGAAAATGGTTTTATATCAAGAACAAATGATGAGTAGATGACTTGAGATTAAGAAAATCTGAGAGATCTGTGTATAGATTCCAGTACACAAGGTAAGTCCAAAGACTAAAGATGACAGGAAGGTAGGAAGAGTGACAAGGGAAACAGACTAAGTTTAAGGGATGAGGACAAAAATCAATACACCAAGCATAGGATTAAAAATCACCCAGGTATGGACTCTATATTCTCACAATTTCTTCAGGCCTATATAATTGTAACAGACTTCTGCCCAGTCTTCCTATCTCCAGGTTTCCTGAAACCCTTCACTTTCTTCTTTTCCAAATGCCCATTTCCTTAAGTTTCTTCCCAGTCTTAATCTTCCAAAGGCTCTCCAGTACCTTTGGAAATCATTATTAAGGATAAATCCTTAATCTTTTACTGTAGCTCTATAATACTTTACCATGTCTTGTCCTCTTTTTCAGAAGTGCCTTTACACAGAAACGGGTTGCCTTCCTGTTTCCCACATATCCACACCCCTTTCACCACCCTCTTTAAGACTTTGCATACCTTTCAGGACCAAGCTCATGTCCTCCATGAAGTATTCCCTTAACACCTTAGTGCACATGTGTATATATAATTATGACAGAAAGAGTAATTCTCCCCTAAAGATGCCCATGCCCTAATCCCCAGAACCTGTGAAAGAGTTAACCTTACATGGCAAAATGGACTTTGCAGATGTAGTTAAGGGAACAGATCTCGAGATGGGAAGATTATCCCAGATTACTTAAATAGGTCAAATCTAATCATGAGTGCTTAAAATCAGAGAGAATTTCCTGGCTGGGCAGAAAGATATGTAAACCTTTGCTGGCTTTGAAGATGGAGGAGGGGCACTTTCAGCCAAGTAATCTGGCAGTCTCTAGAAGCTGGGAACACCCATCTGTTTATTGCCAGCAAGAAAACAAGGACCTTGGTTTTACAACTGCAAGGTATTGGTTCTGCCAACAACCCAAATGAAAAGAAAAAAGGTGCCTGGACACTCCAGAAAGATACACAGCCCTGTGGACATCTTGGGTGGAACCATGTGATACACATGCCAGACTTCTGACCTATGAACTAGGACATAATGAGTTTGTATTGTTTAAAGCCATCAAGTTTGTGCTACTCTGTTTCAGCCACAGTGGAAAATTAATACAATAATAACACACTTCAGAAGAAGAAAACCACTATTGATGCCTAACCAGTGGTCCCAGAGGCCAGTCCTCAGAGAGATTTTGAGTCAATAGGTCTTATGTGGCTTCTGGGAACCTGAATGTTTAACAAGCTTCCTGGGACATTCTGAAACATAGCCATGCTTATACACCACTGTTAAATAAACAAATTACTAGATCCAGATGTCAGACCCTTGATCTCATTTTGGAAGGAGAAAAGATCAAGTAAGTACCAGTACAGAGGAAATAAGCATCTTCCCTCTCTGCCATAACCTAGGTTCCTATCATAAAGCCCAGCCTATCCTCTCAGGAATTTAGCACCACTTTCTTGAGCTTCAACTCTGGCCAAGGGGTAAGATTCTGGCTTATGGAAATGAACTGGCATAGACCGTCACATGCCTCCAGTGTGCTTGGGTTACACATGGCAGTCAGGAGAGCTTTGAGTCAAGAATTCTGCTCCAAGGCATATAGCCTACCAGGTACTCTCAAGTCACCTAAGAATCAAAGGTCTCAAAGGAATGCTGTCAACAGCTGTCAAAGAGGAGTCTTTGTTCCTGGAACCACTTTTGCTGAAGTTCAGCTTAATCAAGGTTGAAGTGTCCTTACCTGGATCTTCCTGACATCCTCTGTCTGTCCTTGCCTGTAACCCCTTCATTTCTGGGGTGCTCAACTGCTCTGTTTGATCCCTCACTAACTCCCTTATATCTGCTCATCCAGGATTACCTGGCCCTATATGATTGTTGATCCATCTAACATTGACTGTGAGACATCTAGTGATGCTGCATAGCACCAATAACCCAGAAGGCATGGGCAGAGATGGGTACCAAAGGATAAAAACTAGAAAAGAAAATGAACATCTCCTCTTCTGACACCAGAAATTATTACAAAATTCAACACACCAGAGTTGAAGTCTCCCGCCAAGTGATCTCATCTTCTGAAAGGACGGCTCCCTGATCAAAAGCTCAGGGCTACCTCCCACCCCAGCTGGGTCTTATCATATGCAGTGTCCTCACTCACTCACTCACTCACTCACTCACCTGAGTGGACTCCTATTGAGATTTCTCTCTTCACCATGAAGGGCTCGCCCCCTTCCTCCAACTGGCAGATCACATATGGTTTGGATACCAGAAGGCCTGATGGTAGAGAAAGAAAAGGATTTTGGTTGTGTGTGCCAGTGGCCTAGTCTTTGGATATTCATCTAAAGAAATGCTGTAGGTATGGAAAGCCTCCAGAGAATAGGCATTGTGAAAAGTCAGGAAGACAGCCAGCTAACTTCCTATTTCAACTCCATATGTAGCAGGATGTTTCCTAGAACTAGGAACAGAAATACCATATCACTAGGTCCCTAAGAGAATGTAAATGTCTGATTCCAGGCTTCCCAAGGAAACCCAAGGTAAAACTCAGCCAGCTGGCCCAGACACCCCTAGCTCTTAAACACCAAGGAAACCAAGAAGTCCTGCTGGGAAAGCTTGGGGCTTTGCAGGCCTGTGCTCACCCAGGAGGGTCAGGTTCCTGAAGTTCTCCAGCATCACCTCCCTGTAGAGGTCCTTCTGGGCAGGGTTCAGCTGCCCCCACTCCCACTGGGTGAATTCCACAGCCACATCTTCGAATGTCATCAGGTCCTGAAACACAGAAGACACTCCAGTACCCTGAAGGAGCACCCTCATAGCCCTCAGGAGAAGAGTAGGCAGGTATCTAAGGAGAACCTCAGGATGTGCAAGAAGGGATTCTGAGTGCCCAGCAGCTATCCCAGTGCCCACAGAACTGTGGGTTTTGTTATCTCAAAAATATTTTAAGCTGCTCCAGGGATTGTATCATCTTTACTACCTGGTATCCCACCCAGTGTCCACTTGTATGCCTATCAATGTGAAACTGCTAGGAAATATAATCATGGTCTCAGGTGAATCAGGCCTATGGAGATGTTCTTCTTAGGTGGTCGTAAACATAATACATTTCCTCATTTGTCAAAAGGTTTTATTCTCAATCTAGTTACATTTGTTTGGAATCAATTAGAATTAACAGATGAATATATTTTGCATTCTCAAATGCACAAGGATCAACAGTCTTCTAATAAAGTATTTTTGAAACTTGTAACCTATGATTTTAGCAACAATTAGGCCAATTCAAGTAATCTGGGGCTTATGAAAATTTATCCCCACCTGCCTGCCAGCACACAGTTCAGCAAAAGTAAATCAAGTGGCTTTATGATGAAACAATAAGTTTTGTGAGTTTGACTAGCATGATCCTTTCCCTCAAAGCCTAATCATTATTCAGTCCCTAAGTTTATAAAGCTGAGCGTGAGACCCTGGAACCCAGGTCACTATTATAAGGCATAATCATTCTATCCTGGCCAGAACTATCCTGTCACCTTCAATCTCAGTAATTAGAACACCTCCCATTTGGCTTATATTGTATGACAATGCACTAAAAAGCAGAATAGGTGAAACTACTATAAATTCCTGTTACTGTTACCCCAAAGTATTTAAAAATCAAATCCCATTTAGATACAGATTACATAGAAAAGCTGAAATAACAATTTTATAAAATAAAAATCATCCAAAATAATCAAACATGAAAAATTATAGTGACATCTTGTGATAGGTTATTTGTCCAAAATATCTACTGAATTAAGCTTCTGCCCATGTGAGGCTATGTCATCTGCTTTCTCAAACTGAATGTGAAAGACACAAACTACAGGTGAGCAAAAGCCTTCAGAGCCAGTGGGGGTTCTGCAATTGTCCTTTTCTGTCTGCCTTGAGAATGGCAAATGATCTGAGTGAAGATGTGTGCAAAGCCACAGCTGTCATGTAACACAAGCAAGAGGGAACCCTTCATAGTATCAGTCTCAGAGGGTTTGCTGTTGTTATCATGGCATAACTAGCCTACACTGACTCATTAAAAAACTGGTATTCAAAGTGGAGTTCTGCCATAACAAAAAGCCAAAAATAGATGACACTGGCTTCCAGGCCAGGCAGTAAGGAAACTTACTGGCAAGATGGCAACCCATGTAATTTGGTGGTGAACTGTTTGGTGAAACTATTGCCTTCAATAACTTGAAAGATGAACAATGAAAGCATGAGCTTCTGATGAACAATGAAAGCATGAGCTTATGAGAAGAGGCTGGAAACATAACATTAGTAGTGTGAGTTGGCTGTTGTTGGCTGCATTTGACAAAATATTATAAGAAAAAATGAGCTTAAGAGTTTGTGGTTTGCAAAACAAAAATGGAAGGTGACAGGAAATGTACAGAAATGCTAGGACTTGTGGGGTTGAAAACAACCAATTCTCATTTCCAACTGGCCAAAGACAATATACACAAGCTTCTGCATGACAATGGCTAATTAAAACTCAGCCCATTAACAGGAACCAAATAATGGATGTGGTTGTCAAACCTTTTGTTTAAACCTCTGAGTAATTTCAAAACGCTCCAGTAAATCTCCCAGTAATTTCAAAAGGCTCCCAGTAAATCGTTCAGAGTGAAAAAAGTATGGGCTTCCCAAGGAAATCCAAAAAGCACCACAATTAAGGCTAATGAAAGAGGTACATTTCAGAAAGACTTGTGGGTCAAACCACTGACATATGGAGCTATCTGGAACCAAATACATAAAAAGCTGATTAAGTTTTTAAGAGTTGCACTGAAAACAATCCTGGGTTACCAACCTACTCCAGCAGGATGAAAAAGCTGCTTTGCCCCAAGAAAGCTTATTCTCCAGTATCATCTTCACATGCCACCAAGGAGGTATCAAAAGGAAGGAACTTCCCAAGGGCAAAGCTAACAGTCAAGGAAAACACTAGACTGGAGAGCTCCACCCATGGAGCAGAACCAGGGCATAATCTAGAGATGTCCCAACTCCCAGGATCAAGGGTTCTCACAGTGTCTGTCCAGTAGAATTTCATGACTGCTGTGGGACCTGGGATTGGCTCCTCTCATGCTTCTCCTTTCTGCAAAGGAGTGTTTACCATGGCATCCTATCCCCATTGTATGTTGGACATATGAATTCAGGTAATTTTCCTTTTAGTTTATAGGTCTCCAGACCCACAGGATCTCCATCCACACTATCACGCCATCCAGAACTTTGATCGTGATGCTCTGACGGGATGGGGCTCTTGGGTTAATTCTTGTGGGTGGCATTTTGTGTGCAGGAGAGAGGGAAGTGAACATCTACAGATAAGAAAATTACAGTGATAGGGGCCGGGCGCAGTGGCTCAAGCCTGTAATCCCAGCACTTTGGGAGGCCGAGGCGGGTGGATCACGAGGTCAAGATATCGAGACCATTCTGGTCAACATGGTGAAACCCCGTCTCTACTAAAGATACAAAAAATTAGCTGGGCATGGAGGCGCGTGCCTGTAATCCCAGCTACTCAGGAGGCTGAGGCAGGAGAATTGCCTGAACCCAAGAGGCAGAGGTTGTGGTGAGCCGAGATCGCGCCATTGCACTCCAGCCTGGGTAACAAGAGCCAAACTCTGTCTCAAAAAAAAAGAAAATCACAGTGATAGATGAATTATTTGCTTAACATAATCCCTGCCCTTCCATTTGGGATCTTTACTCTAGGAGGCTGATAATTCCCACTTCATTAACATTAGGCTTGGTCACGGGACCTGCATCAGCCAGGGGGTTGTAAGGAGAAGCCACAGATGCCGCTTCTGAGTTGAAGTCCAAAGAGCCATCCCCTGGGTTCTGACACTGCTCTTTCCCTCTAATACAAGAACAGCATACCCCAGAGGGGGTTGAACCTTCAGCCTGAAACCCAGAGAGAAGAGGGTGTGGAGCAGAGTCACAGTCAGTCTGCTACTAATAAAGACAGCAGAAAGAAGAAAGACACTCTTTCTAACTGGAAACCATTGAGATGTGGGGCTGTTATTACCACACTAAACCCTCCTGAATGATGTACGTCAGGGCCAAGAAGATTTAAACGCTATTTATGACTCTACTGATTACTTGGGAGAATTCCTTACTAGAGAGGGTTCCTTTCCTTTTGGCTTGAAAGTTAAATATCAGTGTCTATCATCAAGCCTGAATCCCACACCCCCTAGATGCCAGGAAACACTGCAGGCTGCCATATGCAGCCCTCCACATCCAGCTCAGTAAAGCCAAATCTGAATCCCCCTTGAGGGCCAGTCACCACGATCCCTGATGCCGACAAGGATTAGGCAGTTACCATTTTCCAGCGGACTCTACCAACCATATGAGGTGGTTGTATGACTGCATCATTAAGATCTCAGAGCTAGACAGCCTGGATGTGAGACTGGGCTCCCTTCCTCACTACCTAGATAACCACGAAAAAGTTACTTTCTCTCTCTGTGCCTTGATTTCTTCAGTTTACCTCTCCATGTTTTGGTTACTATTCTTCAAACTGGTAACCATTTTATAGGAATGTTTTAGAGACAAAATGAGTTAGTATATGTGAATAGTAGAGAATAGTTCCTAATACAGGTTCTCCTTAAATTATAATTATTTTCATCATCATTAACATTATTATAGTCTTCATGTTACAGGTGGCAAACCAATACATAGAGAGGTTAGGTGACTGGTCCAAGGCCACACAGCCTGTAAATAGTAAAGTGTGTCTCCTCCCTAATCCAGGGAGATAACATCTGAACAGGGACCCAGCCTCCACCTGCCCACCTGTCCATACCCTCAGAACCCTCTTGTCCCCAATTCTCCATGAGCTTTCCCAACCTCTTAAGAACAAGGCTGATTCTCCTTTTCGTGAACCCTAATGGAAAGGCCTGTCTGTGCCACTCCATTTGCCATCAAACCATGCACATCCTGTTACTAGTGGCTGCCACTTGGGTGTCAGGGTCCTCTCCCAATGTGGGTGTGACACTCCTTCAAGGCCAGGGCTGTCATACTACCTGGTGGTCACCACAGTGCCATTTCCAGAAATATGCCAGAGTATGCCCAAACAATCCGAGTGGGTGCATAGCAAGAAGAGAACACCCCAGGCAGGGGCGGGGAGCCATTATTCACTTGGACGGACTCAGCCTCCGGAAGGAATGGCATTGGGTCAGTTCCCTTAGTGAACAAAGAGGCAACTTTTTGGTGAAAAGCAAGCAAAGCTAACCACGGTTCAGCCATTTGAGGAAAAATTAAGAATACAACTCACCTGAGGCCTGGCTTTCAGGAATGAATTCGTTGTTCTCTTTTCTCCCAGGAATCTCTCTGGAGGAAGAGCAGGGTCCTGAGAAGAGGAAGCTGGGAAGGTAGAAGGAGCCATATGGGAAGCTGACCCTGCTGGCACACACAGCTCTCAGACTCCCCAAGCCTGAGACCCTGCACAGCTCTGCTTGTCACCTCCGCGGTCCTGAGGACATCAGTGGGTCAGAGGGAGCTGAGAGGTAGCTTCTAGCCTTCAAACATTGAGAAGTGCCTGTGTACACAGGCCCACTTCAGTCTACAGGTGGGTGAAGTGTGACCAGTCTGGTCACACCACTGAAGTTATTTGCTGGGCACACTATATGCAGGCAGGTCTTCTCCTAGGACTTCTGGAAATACAAATGTGGAAAATATCTTAAAGGTACTTTAAATCTAGCCTACAGGTTAACAACTACACAACAAGACTCAAGGCAAGGCCATAGGGGATTAGGAGGCTTTAAGGGGAGGAAGCTACACCTCTCCCCTCATCCTTGGGAACCCAGCTTAGAGGCCAGCTCTTCCTGACAAGCTGCCCCTGGTGTTCACAAGCACTGTTAGATCTCTGCAGCACACTTGAGAGCTCCTCCGTTATAAAGCTTTATATCATACTGTTTGTAAAGCCTTAAAATAAGCCAAAAAAACTAACCCAAACAATGCCAGAGAAGTAGTTAAGGCTAATAACAACGTGGATGTAAGCAGGCAGCATAGCACAGTTTGGCACTCCTCCAGCTTCAAGTGCATGTGGATCCCTGAGGATCTTGTTGAACTCTGGCTCAAGACTTGCTAAGACTCTGGTTGAGGGGGATGTGGGGCCCAAGAATCTGAAATTCTAGAGAGCTTCTGGGCAATGCCTCTGCTGGTCCCGGAGCCACACTGATTATTAGCAAGGGTATAAAGGAAAAAAGAAGGGGTGGGAGGCCCAGTTCTACCACCGGCCAGTTTTGTGTCCTTGAGCATGTGCACTGAAGGATGAACAGTCAGATTAAAACGCCCACCTGGTGAAAGATAGGACGTTCTAAATTAGGAATGGCTTAAAACCTCCTGGGTCACCTGGATTGCTCTGCCCCCAACACTACTGGGGGAAGGGGCTCACAGGAGATGCCCACCTTGTACACTGCTGACGTTGCACATCACTGAGCCAGAAGGGCTGCAAGAACCTTATTACTGAGGTGATTAAGGAGGTGGATGACAAGGCTCCAAATGGCCCTACTGTTCTCTGATCCCTGGCCAAGGGCCACTCCCTCAGGTTTGCTTGCTCTCTCCTTGCCGCCGCAGGAAGAGATCAGATCCCCTCCTGCGCTCCTCTCCCTCCTCTGGCCATTGGGACAATTTTCCTGGCCATCCCCTCCACCTCTGCGACGGTCATCTAGAGATCCCTGCCAGACCCAGGAGACTGCCGCTTCAGCCTCCTGGGTCCGGAAGGTTAGATATCGCCACAGGGCAGTACAGCCTTCTTCCTCAGCGGGATTCCCCGGCCTCTTCCTAGGGTCCTCCTGATATCCGCCCGGTACTAGCTCCCCAGGAGGGCTCTTGGCCCTCGGCCGTCGGCATGCTCCAGAGCCAAACCTGATGCTGTGGAGTCCATAGCTGGGGCTAAGGAGCGGTGTCCTTTCACTAGGCCAAAATCTCTGTCTTTCGTTCACAGCCCTGCGGTCCTCCTGAGGGTTCAGGTAGCGGGGCGCAGGCTGGGGCCGCTTGGGGGACACGGGGCATCCCCACTAGGCGCGGCGGGGCCAGCAGACATGCAGGGCCTGCAAACCCGGTGCTCCGGGAGCGGCGCGCTGCTGCCCGGGCCGTGCTCTTCCCCCGCCGACCCCGGCCTCCTCCTCACGGCTCGGCTCTGCGGCCCTTCTCTTCAGGACGAGGCTCTGGAACCCAGCTCCCACGTGGATCCACACGCGCAGGGGGGCCGACCGCCAGGTGACGCGGCCACAGCCACGCCCGCGACGCTTGGGGCCCAGCGCTTCTCAGCTGCCCGGAGACCGCAGAGATTCGGTGACAGCCTCATGGGGGCAAGGACCGGGCCTGCCCGCTCGGCTTGCCCCGCTGCCCCGCCCAGCTCTGGCCTGCATAGTCTCTAGCTGGGGGCACTCGGAGGGACGTGTCCAGCTCGGTAACGGGCTGGGACGAGAGCCCAGCGCAGATGTGCGCGCCCGCAGTCTCCGAACCCGTAACAGACCCGCCTCCTGAGGCCGTCCCGAGCTTGCGCAGACGCGGCCGCCGCCGGACCCTGAAAAGGTAGCGCCGGGGACTGGGCAGCCAGGCCGGAGAGGCGGGGCTCGCGGACGCCTGTACCACCTCCACTGGGACGGGCCATGCGCTCCTGCCTGTACCACCTCCACCGGGACTGGCCATGCGCTCCTGCCTGTACCACCTCCACTGGGAGGGGCCATGCGCTCCTGCCTGTACCACCTCCACTGGGAGGGGCCATGCGCTCCTGCCTGTACCACCTCCACTGGGAGGGGCCATGCGCTCCTGCCTGTACCACCTCCACTGGGACGGGCCATGCGCTCCTGCCAAGTGCGAGATTTCAGCAGGCTGTACCCCACGGGCCAGGACCTGGAAGCATTTCCCCATTTCCCTTCTTTGGTAGCTGAGCGCTCGCTCTCGCTCGCGCGCGCGCTCTCTCTCTCTCTCTCTCTCTCTCTCTCTCTCTCTCTCTCTCTCTTGTCTCAGCCTCCCTGGTAGCTGGAATTACAGGTGCCAACCACCACGCCCAGCTGATTTTTTGTATTTTTAGTAGAGACGGGGTTTCACTATGTTAGCCAGGCTGGTCTCGAACTCCTGACCTCAGGTGATCTGCCTGGCTCGGCCTCCCCAAGTGTTGGGATTACAGGCGTGAGACACCGTATCTTGCCTGCATATCTCGATGTAGGGCTGTCCAACAGAAGCCTACCCTGGATCTGGCCAGTGAGGATTTCCAGGAGGCTCTCATGGCATGCCTAGGAGATACTGGGTGCTCAGTGCTAGATACTGCTTCTACAGGCTGCCCTGTGCCTCTTGCCTTTCTAAAACTTCCCCTGAAATCAGTGAAGGGTGATGGATAACAAGAGAGGACTTCAGATGCCCAAACAAATATCATTTAGGACCCAAAAGAAATGGAGAAATGGTCTGCTATGGTCTGAATGTATGTGTCCCCCTCAAATTCATAAGTTGAAAACTAACTTCCAAGGTGATGGTATTAAGAGGTGGAGCCTTTAGAAGACTCTGCCGTCATGAACAAGATTAGCTCCTTTTAAAAACAGCCCTCAGACAGTGGTTCACACCTGTAATCCCAGCATTTTGGGAGGCCGAGGAGGGCGGATCACTTGAGGTCAGGAGTTTGAGACCATCCTGGCCAACATGGTGAAACCCTGTCTCTACTAAAAGTACAAAAAATTATCCAGGAGTGGTGGCAGGCTCCCAGCTGCTTGGGAGGCTGCGGCAGAAGAATTGCTTGAACCCGGGAGGCAGAGGTTGCAGTGAGCTGAGATTGCACCACTGCACTCCAGCCTGGGAGACAGAGCAAAACTCTGCCTGAAAAAAAATAATAAACTTAAATAAATAAAAATAAAAACGGGCCTTAGCCCCCCTTGCCCTTTCTGCCATATGAGGACACAAAACATGACATCTATGAGAAAGGCACCCTCACCAGCCCCTGAATCAGCTGTCATGTTGATATTGGATTTCCCAGCCTCCAGAACTGTGAGCAACAAATTTGTATTGTTTACAAATTACCCAGTTTAAGATACTCTGTTATAGCAGCATTAATGCCCAAGACACAGTCTGAGTATTCAAAGGGTGGTTTTCTGGAGGCAGTCCTTAGCCAAAGAAGGGCAACTTGTGTGGACAGAGAGATTGGTTTATCAACCCTATTTAGGAGTTCAGGACAAAATAACTTACAAAATCAAAGCAAAGAGGCCATTCTCCTTTCCTGCTTTTTACAGTCTCTGTTTCACTTTTCTGCCAGAACTTCTGGTGGCAAGTAAGCCCTCTTCCATGCAGGGGGACACTGTCTTGGAACCATGGCTTGTATAGGAGCTTTTCCATCTTCAGTTGTCTGAACCAAAAAGGTGAAAGGATGTACAAATGAGAAAAGATTTTCATCTCACTGATGGCTCAACAAAACTAGAGATGGAACTACTTCAGATGAACTTGAGGGGCACCATCTTTCCCTGATGCCCATCCTGTGGGCCTGCTGCAGTGTCTGAAATTCCCCACTCTTACATTCTGTCCTTTGGGACAGTTCTTGATCCAGAGGTCCTTTACAATGCACATTTATTACCCAGGAATATTTTCTCTCCTTCTCAGTGCTCTTGTGCACCATTTGATCTCAGAGCACTGTTGGTGGAGTTTGTCCTCACAGCCTATAGGCTCTCCATCACCTTCAACATTCCTTTTATTGCTCCTTTGCAGTCAGATGCCTCTTCCACCTCAACCTATGACCACTGCTCTGTTACTTTTCCCTATAGTCCCTATAGTTATACCTTTTCCTGAATGTCACATAAATAGAATCATACAGTTTTTAACCTTTTAAGACTGGATTCTTTCACTCAGTGTTAAAAGCCCTTGAGAGCCATCCGAGTTGTCATGTGTATCAACACTCCTTCTTATTCCAAGCCAGCTGTCTTTTAAGGAAGGTTGTTAGAAGATGCTATACAACCCATTCACTTACCTCCCATTTACCAAAACACAATCACATCTAGCTGCAGGGAAATGTAGTTTGGTTTTGTTTTGAGACAGTGTCTTGCTCTGTTACCCAAGCTGGAATGCCTCAAATTCCTAAGCTCAAGCAGTCTTGTGCCTCAGCCTTCTGTAGCTGGGACTACAGGTGTGCACCACCATGCCCAGTTAATTTTTTTTTTTTTTTGAGAAAGGGTCTTGCTGTCACCTAGATTGAAGTGCAGTGTCAGGAACACTGGCTCACTGCAGTCTTGACTTCCAGGGTTCAAGCAATCCTCCTGCCTCACCCTCCTGAGTAGCTAGGACTACAAGCATGTACCACCATGCCCAGCTAATTTTTTTAATTTTGTAGAGACAGGGTCTCACTATGTAAGTCAGGCTTGTCTTGAACTCTTGGGCTCAAGAAATCCCTCCACCTTGGCCTCCCTGTTGGGATTACAGGCATGAGCCACCATGCCCCACCTCTAATTTTTAAATTTTTCCTTCATAGAGACAGGGTCTCACTATGTTGCCTGGGCTTGTCTTGAACTTTTGGCCTCAAGCGATCCTCCCACCTCAGTCTTCCAAAGTGCTGGGATTATAGGCATGAGCCACTGCACCTGGCCTAGAAACGTAGTGTTTATTCTTGTGCCTCACTAAAAATCTATTACCATGGAAGATGGAAAGAAAGGATTCATCAGATTTTAAGAACAATATTGATAAATTAGTTCATCTACAGGAAAAGCAAACAGTAAGAGCAGCTCTCTAAATCACACAACTCTGAAGAAGATGGCTGATCTTGGAGTCTAATTATAAGAAAGAAAAATGTTGGTGACTGGCTGGTGCTTTTGTAAGGCAGAACTGAAGTGCAGAGAGTTCTGGACATCCTCTGTGTGCTCTGGCAAACAGAGCTTCCTTAACTAACATGGGATGGTAGAGAACCATCATCCACACTCTCTAAGGACCCCATGATAAAAATAGGAACTGTCTCACAAATAACACTTAGACATATACAGTCATTTCTGGTGGACTAAAGATGCCTAATGGTAGCCAATTTGCACAAAGATATTAAACAAAAACACAGAGGTGAAGAGCCAGTCTGCTCTGGAATCAGACCTAAGTATCAGAAGAAACATTTTCAGATACAGTGTGAAATTGTGCCTGAGTATGTCTCTTCCATCTCAACCACCCAGCTTCCAGACGACACACATGCCCCTCAGGAATAAGAGCTGGTAGTGTAGTATAAAACAAAGAATATTACCACTAAGTACCCAAATCCTTTGCTAGGAGATCAGCCATGTCCTCCCTCGTAGACCAAGTGGTAAAACTGAAAATACTTATCACTAAGGACCCATGCCATTCTAAGGCACCACATCTAAAAACACCACTTGCTTTTAGACACTTTCTTCAGAAAAAGAGATAGGGGAAGTTGGAGAGCTGGTTACTGAGTACCAAGTAGCAACAGCAAAGAGAAAGATGCTCTGAGAGTGAAGGTCAAAGGGTAGCCAGGAAGATGAGTCCTGGAACTGCAAAACGCATCCAGGAAGGAACAGAGCTTGCAGGAAGAAGCAACCTGCAGCAGCTCAGGCAGCAATTCAGGAGGTGACAACAGAGGCAAAACAATGAAGCACAGCAAAAGTCCCCACTGAAATACAGATGCTGAAAAGCTACCAGCAGAATCTCTCATTACAAATGATCCTTCTCTTCTACACTCCACTCCCCTGCTCCCCACTTCTTTCCCAGAGAAACTTTCGTAAAAGAGGAAGGCTGAAATCCTATGGGGCAGTATTTTTTTTTTTTACTGGCCACTAATTGTTTGACATAGTCGGCCCTCCATATCTGCAGATTCCACATCTGAGGACTCAACCAACTACAGATCAAAAATATTTGAAAAAAAAAAATAGAAATGCAATAATAAAAATTAATATTAAAAAGTGAAGTATAGCAATGACTTATATAGTATCTACATTTGTATTAAATATTATAAGTAATCTAGAGATGATTTAAAGTATACTGGAGGATATGTGTAGGATATATGCAAATGCCATGCCATTTTATATCAG